GTGCGACAGACCACCCCAGACCGGAGCAGTTCAGTCCAACAGGAACAGGGTCCTCGAGAGAGTGGGCAAGGATTCGGCGAGTGACAGACAGACACACAAGAACTTGGTGAAAGTCTGAGTGTATTTTTGCAGCTGCAAGGTTTGGAATATATACAGCAAAGATTGCAAAAGTTCATCATCAGCATGACTGTTCTGTAATTAGTCACTTCCTAAGATTTTCAGTAAAAGTGAAAAAATTTTGCCAACCATCATGTATAGCCAAAACACATTCCTTATCTTATCACCCTGGTACCAGCCAGCAAATTCCTGCTTTATGATACTGTGGTTTCTACTACCAGTTTTTATTATGCACTCAGAATTCTGCTTAGTTTTGTGATTTCAGGTCAGAATGACCTTAAACCACCAGGTACTTTCAATATCAACTGTGCCTGATATTACATTTTTAACTATTTAATAACATTCCTCACTTATTTGTAGTGGGCCATCAGGCTTCTAAGTCATTCCTTAACCCCTTAGATCCTAAAAAGTCATCCCATGTTAGGGACCTATGAAACCATCCTTCCCTCCTATCTTTTTCAACTTTTAAATACAGTCTGTAGTTGTCTTTTAATGCTCTCTTGTTGATTTTTTGTCAAAAGACACCAAGGTGGTCTTGATCTTGCCAATTTATCCATGAATTGCAATGAATACCAAGAAACCCTTCTTCTATCTATATTTACCCATCTATGTCTCTCTTCTAGAAATCCATTATTCCCTGGACTTTCCAGCATTAATTCTGCTTGACTACTTCTTGCTGCATCTAAAATGGCTTTCAATAATAGTAATGCATCTGGAGGCAAAGTTGTCTTTGGTGATTGAGTTCCTGGGAACTCTTCCTGCATACTAGAATAATTAAAAGATTTCAATAAAGGCAGTGACAGTGGTGTCAAGGACACCAGGTGCTTTCCGGGCCCCCTGAAAGCCCATGATACAGTGACAGTCAGAAAGATAATAGCAAGTAAAAGTATGCCAAGTACACTGCATGTTTTTTAGCACAGCCAACTCCAAGAGGCAACCTTCTTTGAAGTTCCAGCCTCAACCCATGGAGGATCTCACACGGGCTTCATTGGAGATGGTGTGACAACTAGGCAATTAGGATAAAAAGGCTCCAGAGAAAACCAGTTTCTTGGCTAAAAGTCAAAATGTCCTTGGGTCTCTTACCAACATACTCTGTTCCAAAGGCCAAAAATGTCAAAAGTATTTTGGAGCTTGTATCTAATCTTTAAAAGATTTTAGGGTTACCTCTTCAGAGGGGCAATGTTAGAGTAACCAAAAGCCCCATGAAAGTAAATAAATGAAAGAAGAAAAAAATCAAAGCAAAAGAAAAAAGTGGGGAGATATGGGAGGTGTTGGAGTGGAGGGAGTGGGCATGGATTTGAGCAAAACACCTTATCACGTGTATGAAATTCTCAATAAAGTTTTTGTTAAAGTTAATAAAAGAATCTTATGGTTTCCATATGAACTCCTATAAGCAAAATCACAATAATCTGAGTAAATGATAAAAATTTATTTCAATTAACTAGAAAAATAGCCTATTGTCACTAAAGTTTTAATATTACATTGATCTGGCAAATAACTGAGAGAATTTAAAAGGGAGAATGATTTATCTAAGATCATAGTTTGAGATGGTTCAGGTTGAGCTTTGTTGATTCTGTTACCTGAGGAGAGGAAAACATCACAGTAGAACAGCATACAGGCATGTCTGGAAAGCAGAAGATACAGGAAGGGGCTGGTAAGAAAATACACTTCAAAATCTCTGTGACTTACTTTCCCTAATGATGCGCCTACCCCCCGAAGCTTCCATCATTTGTCTTTCCAACTGGAAAGAGCTTTCAACATGATAGAATTTGGGCTGCATTTAATATTCAAATCCTAATACTAATTCTGTTATATAGAATCTACTTTTTGAATAGTTAAAATAGAACATCGATTCTCAGCATCCTACAAAGTAATGTCTTTCTCACTCTAGTAGAAACAAAGAAATCTAAATATTGTTTTCACACTTAAGACATAGACAGCAGAGAATGAAGAGACGGCTAAGTCGATAAGAGTACTACTTTTGCAGAGGACAGTTTAGTTCCCAGTACTCAGATTGGGCATCTCACAACTGCCTATAATTTATGTTCCAGGAGACCCAATGCCTCTGCTTTCAATGGGTACCTGTACTCATGTTCACAAGCTTAAACTTGCATGCACATGCACAAGCTCGCACGTGTGTGCATACACATGCTCACACACATATTGAAAAATAAATATAAATCTGTAAAATAAAGGGAACAGTATTTTACTGAAGGATGAAGCTTAAATATATAAACAGTGTTTAGTATTTTCTAACTAGATATTTAATTGGACTTTGAGAGGATAAAGTACATTATTCATAAATCAAAGTAAAAGGAAACTTTCCAAAGTAGTAGGTTTTAAAAAATATTATGTTACCTCTACTAATTACCCAATGACTTCATAGACATATACAGGCGCCAAGGATCCAAGTGCAACTGATCATGTCTAGGAATAATCAGATACATACAGGTTAGAAATTCATGTGCCATCATCTCAGTGTTAGTAGCAAAAACAATGAGTCTTTCTGCAAGGAACAATATATTCTAAAATGAAATGGAGATCTTTTTTAAAGGATAAAAGCTCATTCAATTTTATGTCTTCCAGGGATTTTACTGAGTTCAATATTGTATAACTGTATTAATTCAACTGTGAACCTAGAAACTTACAGGCACTTGTGAAAGAAATGTACTTTTGCTCTGCAGTGTTCTACTGAATATGTTAAAGATATAATGAAATGCTTCTTCTAATCATGTAGTTATTAAAATTAAAAAAATACTTCTAACATAAAAAATATTTATTTTATATGTATGAGTGTATTGCCTGCATGTATGTAATTGCACTCATTTGGTGCAATGCACACAGAGGTCAAAAGATGGCTTCAGGTCCCCTGGAACTGGAGTTACAGACTTGTTAACTGCCGTGGTACTGGGAACTGAATTCAGGTCTTCTGCAAATGCAGCTCATGCTCTTATCTGCTGAGCCATCTTTCCAGTCCTACCAAAGTAGTAGTTTTATGTAAAGTAGTTATAAACCTAATATGATTGATTACATAAATGTATAGTCTACCCTCCTAAAATATGAAACAAAAATTGAATATTAACTAAAGTCCAACTAGTGCTAGACAGAAACAATTGATGTGATCAACTAAGGATACTTTATCATTAATTATAAGTAATTGAGGTTTTGTTAAGTAATATGAATCTCATACACAGTAACCTAAATTTCTTAACATTTAACTTACAAGTCTGAAATTGGTTAGCACTATTTTGCTAAAACTTGCTAAATATTGAAATATTTACATTATTTCAGTATACTATTCCTCTTTCTCTAGATAAGTAACAAAACAACAGGAAATTATACATTCAATATCTTCTCCAAAGAAATATGATTTATTAATATATTACTACATCAAAAATTACACATTAACTTTAAATACTATTATGGATAAATGAATAGGAAGTTACTGGAAATATATTCATGAGCCCTGGTCAAAAGCATATTTATAATGCAAAAAAGTACTATTTCATGATTTTATTAATTTCATGAACATATCATTTAAAATGATATGTTAAACTGAATTGATTTTTTTCTTACTATAATAACTTGGTGACCTTTAATTACATAGTTGTTTATATCTTCAATTTTAGTTATTATAAAGAAAATTTAATTTACATGTTTAAATTTATAAAGATTAAGAACCAACACAAAAACAACCCAATATCTTCATTAATCTGTTTTGTAAATCTGTCAGGAAATATCTTACATCAAATTTCCTAATCTCTTTGACATTAATTTCCTTTTTTTAAATAAAATATAATACAAAAAATAGATAATATAATTAATCTACATATATAACAAGGAGAAAATTCATTACATATAATCCAAAGATTCAAATCTGGAAAATAATCTGGATAAATTTCCCCATTGCGGGAATAAATCAGCCAAGTCTGTCTTGGTTTCCACTGTGTCTACTTTTCTACAAGAAATCAAATTTATTCATATCTGGTCTATCTAAAAATAAAAATAAAATGAAGTAATTGCTTGAAAATTCAAAGATATCTTTATTTTTCTCTCTAATAAGGGTAAGTACAATGACATAACCTATGATATATATCTGCTTTATAATATTGATAAGTGAGTTGATTCAGTTTATCTTAAAATACCTCATTTGCCATCATCAGGGTTGCATAACACAGATTCCTAGCCAGAAATTATGAATCATGCCTTTATTCCCAGCACTCATGAGGCATAGTCAGGTGGATCTCTATGAAATCAAGGCCAATCTGGTCTACAAGGCAAGATAGCTTGTATCTATCTAGGCCAATCTGGTCTACAATGCTAGATAGCTATCCATGATAGCTGAGGGCTGCAGGGAGATACTGTATCCAAAAACAAAACAAAATAAACAACAATCAATTAATAACAACAACAACAAAAAAAAACAATGACCAAAAAACTGAAGGCTTGTCAGTGCAGAATTCCTGTGGATAAGTTCTGAGGCCTGAGGTACAATATTTACATCTTTAAGTATTCAATATATCCTTATTCAAGAAACTTTTAAGATTTAGAATAACATCTACTTACACATTTATCCCATGTACTAAATAACTTGGCAAAGTGCTTAGTAGGTAGAATGTCCATATATGTTGTCTGTTTTTATTTTCCCCTTCACCAAGAGTCTCATTACATGAATGTATGTGAGTGCACCTGTGTCATGCAACACCGCGGAGGACAGAAAAGAGCTTCAGATTTCCCTGGAACTAGAGTTAAGGATGGTTCATTGCTGCCATGTGGGTGCTGAGAATCGAATCCTGGTCCTCTGAGCAGTCAGTGCTCTTAACCGCTGAGCCATCTCTTCAGCCCCTAAATTGTCTTTATTTTTAACAACTTCAGATCCCCCCAAATGGTGCACCATTCCAAGAGGTACTGCAATACCAAGTCAATCCGTGGAGTGGACGGAGCAAGCTCCCATTCTGACTACAAATTCCAAAATCCATTTAATATATTGTCCTTGAATAGAAGATGTATCAGATGTTAAACTGATAAGGACAGATGCTACACTTGATCTTAGCCAAAAGGCTGAGAAGTGACCATGGTTTTTTTTAATATATTTTAATGAGATAGCAAATTTGGACACTCTGCTGTATAATTACCTGCTTTCATAGACAAGGCTTCCCATGTGTAACAATGCCTGTGTCAAAGAAGCATTCATGACATAATTGCACTTCCTAATTTGTGAGTATGCTTCAGTATACATTAAGTAAATGTTTAATGTAGGAATGCCAAAATGGTGTCAATACCGGAAACTGTAGACTTTATTCTCTAATGCCATTAGTGCACCCAAGAAAGCTACTCTCCCTTAGGAGAGGTAGAATCTAGAAAGAAAGGTGAGGAGAAATTGGGAAGTTGAGAGGAAAGTTTGGGCTACAGATGTATTCTTGATTTTCCTTAGAATACAGGGTCTGCTTTGAAGAAGGACTGTAGTATCAGGCTTAGTTTTACCAATGAATTCCTCTCTTGTTGCAAATTAATTCTTTTGTACTTCAGTTTCCAAGATGTCTAATATGCCAAATAATTTTCACTCTTTTCTTTATGTTTAGTTTTATGTGTATGAATGTATTGCCTGCATGTATCTGAGTGCACCAGTGTCGTGCAATGCCGCCAAGGTCAGAAGAGGGCTTCAGATTCCCTTGGAACTTGAGTTAAGGATGGTCGTAGCCACCATGTGGATGCTGGGAATCGAACCTGGGTCCTCTGCAAGAGCAGTCAGTGCTCTTAACTGCTGAGTCCTCTCTTTCATCAGTGGTAATTCAATAGTGAGTGAGGAAATACTCTGTATTTTAAGGAGCATACTCTGAAAAAAATTTTTCCAAATATTTTCCCAAATTAAAATAAAATATACCTACATTTCTCAACATTAATTATCTTATATTCACATTATATTAACCTCAAATTTTATTGTCTGTGTTTTAATAGTCTCACAGCTGTGGCTTTGCTAACACTCGATGAACTGACTGCCCCTCTCAAGGTTAATACATTCCTAGAGATGGCTAAATAATAACCCTAGAAGCCAGGGGTCCCCTAAATGATCAAGTTTATCAACAATGACAGATGTTAGCATGAAAGAAAAAAGTGCTGAGATACAAGGACAACTCACAGCTACTGGAACATAGACCCAGGTGTGGCTTGTAAAGAGTCCAATGTATGATCATTTAGAACATTTTCTATAAACTTTGAAGAAAGACAACACTGTAAATTATATTTAGTAGAAATTGGAGCAATGGGTAAGGAGTGAGGAAAACTTTAAGAGAGCAAAACATTCCATAAAGAAAATTAATTGCTGCTTCTAAATTGATTATAGTTAACAGTCTCAAAATTGTGTGTATCTGTGTGAAAACGCCAGTGCAAGATAGACTGTAATAGGATTTAAATCCACGTTTCAATAAAAAGCTTTTATTTCTGGCTTTACCTACGGGTATTTAATGAATAACATCATTTTCTTGTCTTCTCTCCATCCCTGAGCTTTTCAGATTATGACTTAACTGAATTGTATTAACTCTATCAATATAATAAACAATGTGCCTGTCTCTAAATCTTTCTGACAGAACCCAACCCCTTTTTAGAGCCACGCTCCAGTTTCTGCTTTATCTGAATTTTACACTTGGACACTATTCACTTCTCTCAGCATCTCAGGGCAGGTATTACACAAGGAGCTATGTGCCTTTGCCTCACAACTTTTTGAAATTATTCAAATTAACTGATGATGTCTTCCTAACTGGTCCATTTGTGCCTCCCTGCAAAAATCCCAACAGATGCTATGTATAACTCATTGAATTTCTCTCCTTGGTGACTTTTATGTTTTCCTGTGCTGATCTTAATGTCATGACATGGCATGGCATTTTGTCTTAGAACGTGTGAATCTTAGCTACTTTCAGTGCCAGTAGGTGTTTAATAAGCTGACTTTGCTGTTTATCAAAATTTTCATCTAATCCTTTATATTAGAAAGACTGAATTGGTATTTCTCAAACTTTTACTTGAGGTTCATTAAGGGCATATACTAAGATCTCCAAATATCACATGCATTTGGAGGCAAATGAATGGCATTGTTAAAATTATTAGGAAATGTATAAAAATTTAGGGTGTAGAGGTTACATTGTAGATGTGTCACTTAGGCCTGGGCAATTCATAGACAATGTCTGTGTGTGACCAGCTGTGGTACTTGGTAATAGTCTCCAACTGGTGAAAAATTAGCTTCTTTGGCTTTAGTGGTGACTGGGATATTTTGTCTGTAAATATAAGGATACATACTTTGCACATAGTAAGAAATCACATTAGTCTAGGGATGTGACAGTCTTGAGGTTTTCTCTAACATCTATAACCACTCCAACCATGTGTATTAGGTTATGTTTGCACTATTACACTTGAATTTCCTCCCACCAAGTGGACTTTTAGTCCAATTAGGTAGCTGCTGATTACCCCCAAAATAAAAGTGCCACTACTGTAACAATGTCTTATTCTGTGCTGGCCATTGATGTGATTATTTGTTCTTAAAGCTAGTGTTGGACCATTGATTGAGTTTTCCCTTGGTACTTTCACAGCTCTTTCCAAAACTATGAGAACTGGACTTCAGAGGATGAAACAAAGAACAGGAATAAAGAAGAGGATGCTAATGAATCTCTCAGTTCTCATCAATGAAGCTCCCTCATGCAGCAGAGGGCCAGGTCACAAAGGTCAAAAGGTCACAAAGGGTCGGCTGAATGCTGATCCTTGGAGAGAACTTCTTTGACAAACTCCAGCCACCCAAGGCTCAGGGACTATTGTGGAAGAGGAGGTAGAGAGATTATAAAAGCCAGGGAGGATAAGCATAACCATATGGGAACACAGACCTATAAGCTCCTGGGAACATGCTCATATGATTCTATGGCTTCAGCATACACAAGTCCCATGCAAACTCAGGCAGACAAAAAGCCAGCATAGAACTGGGTAAATGAACAGCAAATCTCATCTTATTTGAACAAATATTGGCAACTGATTTTCCTAAAACAAGGGACTCTAGATAGACTGACTAGAGCTCAATGGATGGAATTGCACTGGGGAATGTCTGGGGAAACTGACATGACACCTTAACAGGAATGACAGAGTATATGGACTCCAGTGGGGGAGGGCTATAGGCGGGTGCTTATGGGGTCAGGGGTATAAAGTTGATTAAGATTGATTGAGGGGTTCTGTGTGATATACACAAAATTTTAAAAAATGTTCTATTAAAAATATATAGGGTCTGCAAAGAACTTTAACTTCAACCCAAATATTTTAAAGTAATTTGGGATAATCCTTAATGATTGATGATGCAATTTAACATGTATCTGCACAGAAGAACAAGATGTCTATTAATTTTAACTTGTACATTTGGAAATGAAAAGGACTTCATGGGTATAGATGTAAACTATTCTGACAACAAGAATTTAATAAAAGTGAGTCAAGAGGTCAAAAGCATAACACCAAGAACAGATCAGAATCAAAGATAGTGGAATACATTTCCTGAGAATACCTATATAAGACCCCAAAACAGCTCATGATAATTGTAGTTTTATTTTATACTCATTCTCTACTGAATTATGTATGGTTCTCTGAATTCTAGATCTACGTTTCAAACAAGTTCTCTGGTCCATATACTGAATTCAATGCTGTATTTTCACAGTCTGCAGTCATGACATGAAATTCTTTTATAATAAAGAAAATTTTGGTTCTTTGACTTGAATGTTTCCTCTAGATTGCCTAAGTTCCTGACTTGCTAATGATACCAGAACATGTTTTAAAATTATGAATCCGAGAATACTATTCTCCAAGTTGAACAGCTACACAAAGATCATATTTTCATGTTCATAGCCCTCTCTTTGTATGCATTATGCCATTTCCAAAAAAAAAAAAAATGGCACATTTGAATCATTGTAACAGAGACCACTGGTCAGAAAAAAAAAAAACCACTTATCTATGGCCCTTTGTCAATAATGTTGGATAGGATATCCAAAGGGCTTTATCTGAACTGATTAAGACTTGGCATTATCCATCTGTGACTTTATGATTTTTATGTAAAATGCATTAAAGCCAATTAAACTTAAAAAATGTATTTTTCTGTGATAATCAACTACTCAACAACAGTATATATCTAGTGGGATAACTGAGCTTATGATCATATCAGAATTGCCTGACCGGTGCTGAGTTTAAACTTCGTTGTTGCAGCAGTATCCTCTGAATTTAAATGTACGTCCAGGAGAAAGAACCAGTAAGAATCAGGAGGATTGACTTTGAAACATTCCATCCTGGAGGAAGGCTCCTGAAAATGTAGAAAGTATAGGCAACCATTTTGTTTACATTTCATAGATGCAGCTTCCCTGTCATGTCTGGAACACACAAACAGCAAGCATCCTGGTGTTCTTGATATTTCTCTCTTGCTCTTCTGTCATGTGAATTACCGAGTATTAGGTTGTAGTGGTTGGTGCATTGTGAATGTATCAACTGTGGCTAAACACCCCACAGTAATTATTGTCTACATTTTGACAAGTTGTGGAGCTTCCATTTGTTGGAATAAAAGTTTGTTTTTTTTTCTATTTACTATTTATTTATTTA